AGGAAACCGGTCAACCAGGCTGTGATGGATATATGGGCCAGCAGATCGCCAGCAGCAAAAGTCTGGTTAGCCAGGCACACAGCAGGCAAACCTGGCCAAAGGCCGGGCTGCGAGAGTAGAAAATTTCTCAAAACTCATCAAAGGTGAGGCAAAGGCAGGTGCAGGCACACGCTATCTATACCTATGATAGGTTTCGAAGGTTAGTCTCTCTCTCGTGGCTTAGTCAACCAGGCTGTTGCCGCTACCAACCCGGTGGCCAACCTTAACCATGAGGCAGAAATAAGAATCGGGAAATCTCATACCCAGTAATAATGAATCCCAAATCCCCTTTCCCCAGTCCCCTTTTCTCCCCTCCCTAAGCTCCCCTATTGCCTCCTATCCCCTAAATAACCCCTTACCTCCTCAAACAAATTAGTTTGAGAAAGTATCCCTGTGTCTTGTGGTGGGTGCGTCTCTCCCTCCTTCCAAGCCTCAACCTTAATCCAATAACTTCATCCAGCGCTGCATCGCATCTTGTATCAGCAGGAATTTTTCACCTCCAGCTTATATCAGGAACCCTTTTTTTCCTCCTTTTTTTTTTTGAGACCTGTGGTGCCTGTTTTTTGTTAGTGCTTTCTTCCCCTTTTTTGTGCTTCTTGGGTTATCTCATTCTTGTTAATTTTCACCTCTTTTCTCGCTTTCTTAAAGCGTAAACTGTTAATATATTTTTTTTTAATTTTCTTGTGCTTACTGCGTTATTACATTTATTTTTGTTTGTGTCTTTGTTAGGATCATTTTTAGTGCACTTTCTTTCCATGTGTTTCTTATATTACCTATTTCCCCAATATTTTTTGGAGAGGGAGACCCACTGCCATTTTTTTTTGTGCTGTTATACCCTTTAGTACCTTCCGTATTACTATTTTTTTTTCAGTGTTTTGCATTTGTTTTGCGTCGCCACTTTACTTGTTCTTAGTGTTTCTTCAAGCGCACTTGATTTTTTTTAGTATGGCTTTGTCAAAGAATTTGCTACATCTTTTGTTAACACTGCTTAGTTTAAAACTTTATTTACAATATTCTATACAAAATATTTCTTATTAATGTAAATTCTTTATTTCATCTTCTTGTTATGTTTAGTTTTCTTTACGACAAAGTTTGCCTCGTAAACTCTTCTTTAATTCCGTCCTTTACTCTGTACTGCCTACATCATCTGTTGTTATCCTTCAGTAATTGCTTTATCGGCAGTTTCCTTGAATTTCATCCATAAACTTTGCTTCTCATGTTTCTTGATCGCGTTCGTGTCTTGCACTCTCTATCAATTTCGGCTCTTCCTTCATACCTGTTTCGATAAGAATTTTTCTTAAATTATACATTAAATTTGGAAGAATTTTTCAATTTAGTTTTCACAGACTGGCTGAATTTCTGATATTTTTGAAATAATACTTTCTCGGTTTTACCAGCCTTGAAATCTCGTAAACTTTCTCCATGATGAGTATATTTTTACTCAAGCAGTACTCTCGGGTTTTGAAGAAGAATTCTACAAAAAAGTTTATTCATTCTATACACATGTGTTCTCCTCACTTCCAGGGTTGTTTTATTCAACGCTTGCTTTTGCATGCGGGAATTCGTATCCATTCCGGGAGTGCATTTTACCTCGCCCGGATGTACTGAGCAGCAGCGTATGAACAGAGTGGCTAGCATATCAATAAAAATAACAATATAACACACACACACACACACACACACACACACACACACACACACACACACACACACACACACACACACACACACACACACACACACACACACACACACACACGCCGCGCGCACACACACACACACACACATTAAACTACAGACCTGTGTCACTAACGTGTATAGTATGCAAAGTCATGGAGAAGATCATCAGAAGGAGAGTGGTCGAGCACCTGGAAAGAAACAAGCGTACAATCGACAACAAGCACGGTTTCAGGGAAGGAAAATCCTGTTTCACAAACCTACTGGAGTTTTATGACAAGGTGACAGAAGTAAGACAAGAGAGAGAGAGAGAGAGAGAGAGAGAGAGAGAGAGAGAGAGAGAGAGAGAGAGAGAGAGAGAGAGAGAGAGAGAGAGAGAGAGAGGTGGATAGACTGCATTTTCTTGGACTGGAAGGCCTTCGGCACAGTTCCTCACAAGAGGTTAATGCAAAACTAGAGGATCAAGCACGCATAACAGGAAAGGCACTGGAATGGATCAGAAAATACCTGACAAGGAGGCATCAACAAGTCATGGTACGTGACGAGGTGTCAGAGTGGGCGCCTGTAACATGCGGGGTTCCACAGGGGTCAGTCCTAGGACCTCTGCTGTTTTTGGTATATGTGAATGATATAACGGAAGGGATAGACTCAGAAATGTATTTGTTTGCAGATGTGAAGCTAATGAGGAGAATCAAATCAGTCGACGATCAGGCAGGACTACAGAGAGACCTGGACATGCTACAAGCATGGTCAGCAACTGGTTCCTTGAATTTAACAATGACAAATGCAAAGTCATGAAGATTGGGGAAGGGCAAAGAAGACCACAGATACAGTATAGTCTAGGTGGCCAAAGGTTGCAAACCTCACTCATGGAAAAAGATCTTGGAGCGAGTATAATACCGAGCACATCTCCTGAGGCGCATATCAATCAGATAACAGCTGCAGCTTAAGGGCGTCTGGCAAACCTAAGGATAGCGTTCCGATATCTTAGTAAGGAATCGTTCAAGACTCTGTACACCATATAAGTCAGGCCCATACTGGAGTATGCAGCACCAGTTTGGAACCCACACCTGGTCAAGCACGTCAAGCAATCAGATAAAGTGCAAAGGTTCGCAACAAGACTTGTCCCAGAGCTAAGGGGATTGTCCTACGACGAAAGGTTAAGGGAAATTGGCCTGACGACACTGGAAGACAGGAGGGTTAGGGAAGACATGATAACGACATATACTGCGTGGAATAGACAAGGTGGACAAAGACAGGATGTTCCAGAGATGGGACACAGAAACAAGGGGTCACAATTGGAAGCTGAAGACTCAGATGTGTCAAAGGGATGTTAGGAATTATTTCTTCAGTCAGAGTTGTCAGGCAGTGGAATAGCCTAGAAAGTGAAGTAGTGGAGGCGGGAACCATACATAGTTTTAAAGTGAGGTTTGATAAAGCTCATGAAGCAGGGAGAGAGAGAGGACCCAGCAGCAATCAGTGAAGAGGCGGGTCCAGGAGCTATGACTCGCCCCTGCAACCACAAATAAGTGAGTACACACGCAAGCCTGCACACACACACACACACGCATGTACACACACACACACACACACACACACACATACACGAAGGCCTTTGACACAGTTCCCCACAAGAGATTAGTGCAGAAGCTGGAGGATCAGGCGCATATAACAGGGAGGGCACTGCAATGGATAAGGGAATACCTAACAGGGAGGCAGCAACGAGTCATGCTACGTGAAGAGGTATCACAGTGGGCGCCTGTGACAAGCGGGGTCCCACAGGGGTCAGTTCTAGGACCAGTGCTATTTTTGATATATGCGAACGACATGATGGAAGGAATAGACTCTGAAGTGTCCCTGTTCGCAGATGATGTGAAGTTGATGAGAAGAATTAAATCGGACGAGGATGAGGCAGGACTGCAAAGAGACCTGGACAGGCTGGACACGTGGTCCAGAAACTGGCTTCTCGAATTCAATCCTGCCACATGCAAAGTCATGAAGATTGGGGAGGGGCAAAGAAGACCGCAGACAGAGTATGGGCTAGGTGGACAAAGACTACAGACCTCGCTCAGGGAGAAAGACCTTGGGGTGACCATAACACCGAGCACGTCACCGGAGGCACACATCAACCAAATAACTGCTGCAGCATACGGGCGATTGGCAAACCTGAGAATAGCGTTCCGATACCTTAATAAGGAATCGTTCAAGACACTGTACACTGTGTATGTTAGGCCCATACTGGAGTATGCAGCACCAGTCTGGAACCCACACCTGGTCAAGCACGCCAAGAAGTTAGAGAAAGTACAAAGGTTTGCAACAAGGCTAGTCCCAGAGCTCAGGGGAATGTCGTACGAGGAAAGGTTGAGGGAAATTGGACTGACGACACTGGAGGACAGAAGGGTCAGGGGAGACATGATAACGACATACAAGATACTGCAGGGAATAGACAAGGTGGACAGAGATAGGATGTTCCAGAGAGGGGACACAGAAACAAGGGGTCACAACTGGAAGCTGAAGACTCAGACGAGTCACAGGGACGTTAGGAAGTATTTCTTCAGTCATAGAGTCGTCAGGAAGTGGAATAGCCTAGCAAGTGAAGTAGTGGAGGCAGGAACCATACATAGTTTTAAGAAGAGGTATGACAAAGCTCAGGAAGCAGAGAGGGAGAGGACCTAGTAGCGATCAGTGAAGAGGCGGGGCCAGGAGCTGAGTCTCGACCCCTGCAACCACAATTAGGCGAGTAGAATTAGGTGAGTACACACACACACACACATACGCGCGCATACACACATACACGCATACACACACACACGGCCATACCACGTTGAACACACCACTTCACGTTCGATCAGCGAAGTTAAGCAACGTTGGGTTTGGTTAGTACTTGGATGGGTGACCGCATGGGAACACTAAATGCTGTTGGCATAAATCTTTCCAGTAGCGGCCAGTGAAGAGGCGGGGCCAGGAGCTATGAATCGACCCCTACAACCTCAACTATGTGAGTACAACTAGGCGAATACACACACACAGGGCCAGGAGCTACGAATCGGCCCCTGCAACCACAATTAGGTGAGTACACACACACACACACACATATACACACACACATACACACACACACACACACACACACGCACGCACGTACACACGCGCATACACACAAACACGCATACACATACATACCCATACATACACACACAGACAGACACACACACAGGGCCAGAAGCTACGAATCGACCCCTGGAACCATAATTAGGCGAGTACACACACACACACATACACACTTGGGTCTGGATCCCTATGCTGGGTATTTAGGCAGTCTGGACTGGTAACGTACAGATGACATGCAGCATTAATGATCATCGTGTAGTCAACGAACTTCAAAACTTAATAAACCAATTAACGAATAGAAAATTATCTGGTTATATGAAGACAACAAAATAATTGGTCAATCATCGCCGACGTTCCTCTCACAATGTAATTATTAAAAGTACATTTTTTCCCTTCGGTTCACAAAGTCAGTCAATTTTTTTTAAGTATTACAGCAAATCATGCCGAAATTACACAATATAAATATGATCATCATAATTTGCTTGCCCCGTTCTCAAATAATTGTTTAACGAGAGCCATGCAAATGGCGAGCACAGTGGTGTTGCTGATTGCATATTCAACAGTGTAATTCTGCAATTAAAATGTATCCACACTCATGCAAGCAAATCCAATCACTCATAAATTTCGCCCGTGCCAAAAGCACCACCTGCCAGTGATTTAGTTCCATTGGCAGTCTTTTATTTATTTTCATTAGTTGGCACCATTTCCGATATTCAATTTCAATTTTCAATAGAAGGTCGAGAGCGAATGACCAGAGGTTTGAACACGAGCAGCAAATAAGGCAAGACACCTACTTTTGCGATATCGTTCCCTCTGATGTGCGAGGGTGCAGTTCCTGTGATATTTTGGCTCAATGTTATTTATGACTAAGATACGACGTAGGGAAGAGTGCAGTCTACTGTCCAAATATTTCTGGGCAATTTTATCAATGGCAGGTAGGAACTGTTACTGTAACAATATGATTATTTAAAACGGAGGGGAGGGGGGCTGAGGAATGATTGAGGGTAAAGGGGGAGGGTGAAGAAAGAGAAGGGGAGGCGAGAGGTAAATTAGAGAGGAGAAAAAGGTGGGGGGGGGGAGAAGACGGAGAGGAGGGAAGGCAAGAGGGGGAAAGGGGCATACTATCTCTCCTTTTTTAATTAATTTCATGTTTCTGACAACAGTAATGGATTTTGTGTATTCTGCAACAGTTCTCTGGTGGGCGCAGTAAAACGACCAGCCACCTTTGCAATAAGAGCCATACTCTCACACGCATCATGGCCAAATTCACCCTTATCATCAAACCAAAACAAGTCCCAGTAATACTTTGCAAATGCTATTCAGAGTGTGAAGACATGTTTATAAACATCTAAATTTCTTATATAAATAGCTTAGAAGCAATATACACAGGTTTAATAAAACACATCTTTCGATACGTCGACCAAAATTAAAGGTTTAATTAAGAAAATCGTTATCAGCGGCGTGGGGAATAACGCTACATCAGCCTCGCACATAACGTTAAAAACTTATTACGACAGCGTTAATTTCGCAGAATTGTAAATAATATACGAAGAGCTCTTGCCATTTGCTAACATCACAATAAGCAATAATAAGAGTCTATGATATTAATGGCCTAGACCAATGTTAATTATTCAGGTAAGCTATTAGCGATTTGGGTAGTTAGCCGGAGATATGCCAGCAATATGCAGAGCTCTGGCTGTAACGTGCAACATTTCAGCTGCACTATTTGCCAAATACAGCAAATATGATAGCAATAACATTCTCAATAAAAGTCGGGAAAATTATCAAACTATATGCAATTTTTTATTAATCTTAAGAGAATTTTGTGAACACTGTTGTTTTGGTACCTTCATATTACTGTAGATCACTATCATCGTTTGAAAAAAAAAAATGTTCCCAGACTTCGAAAAAGCTTCGATATAGAAAATATTTAGAACATTGATAACTGTGTCGAAACATCAAAACAAATATGCAAATGTTCCAAATCTGATTGTAAAAGACAAGTGAAATGTAGATATAAACCAAGATATACTAGTGTTAACTTCTTACGAAGCTTAGATCTCAGACTCTGTGTGTATCCCTGTACTCCTGCACTACCCTCCACACCATGTGTATCACTGTACTCTTGCACTACCCTCCACACCATGTGCATCACTGTACTCTTGCACTACCCTCCACACCATGTGCATCACTGTACTCTTGCACTACCCTCCACACCATGTGTATCACTGTACTCTTGCACTACCCTCCACACCATGTGTATCCCTGTACTCTTGCACTACCCTCCACACCATGTGCATCACTGTACTCTTGCACTACCCTCCACACCATGTGTATCCCTGTACTCTTGCACTACCCTCCACACCATGTGTATCCCTGTACTCCTGCACTACCCTCCACACCATGTGTATCCCTGTACTCCTGCACTACCCTCCACACCATGTGTATCACTGTACTCTTGCACTACCCTCCACACCATGTGCATCACTGTACTCTTGTACTACCCTCCACACCATGTGTATCACCGTCCTCTTGCACTACCCTCCACACCATGTGCATCACTGTGCTCTTGCACTACCCTCCACACCATGTGCATCACTGTACTCTTGCACTACCCTCCACACCATGTGTATCACTGTACTCTTGCTCTACCCTCCACACCATGTGTATCCCTGTACTCTTGCACTACCCTCCACACCATGTGCATCACTGTACTCTTGCACTACCCTCCACACCATGTGTATCACTGTACTCTTGCACTACCCTCCACACCATGTGTATCACTGTACTCTTGCACTACCCTCCACACCATGTGTATCACCGTACTCTTGCACTACCCTCCGCACCATGTGTATCACTGTACTCCTGCACTACCCTCCACACCAAGTGCATCACTGTACTCTTGCACTACCCTCCACACCATGTGCATCAATGTACTCTTGCACTACCCTCCACACCATGTGCATCACTGTACTCTTGCACTACCCTCCACACCATGTGTATCCCTGTACTCTTGCATTACCCTCCACACCATGTGTATCACCGTACTCTTGCACTACCCTCCACACCATGTGCATCACTGTACTCTTGCACTACCCTCCACACCATGTGTATCCCTGTACTCTTGCATTACCCTCCACACCATGTGTATCACCGTACTCTTGCACTACCCTCCACACCATGTGCATCACTGTACTCTTGCACTACCCTCCACACCATGTGCATCACTGTATCTTGCACTACCATCTCACACCATGTGCATCACTGTACTCTTGCACTACCCTCCACACCATGTGCATCACTGTACCTTGCACTACCCTCCACACCAGTGCATCACTGTACGCTTGCACTACCCTCCACACCATGTGCATCACTGTACTCTTGCACTACCCTCCACACCATGTGTATCCCTGTACTCTTGCATTACCCTCCATACCATGTGTATCACCGTACTCTTGCACTACCCTCCACACCATGTGCATCACTGTACTCTTGCACTACCCTCCACACCATGTGCATCACTGTACTCTTGCACTACCCTCCACACCATGTGCATCACTGTACTCTTGCACTACCCTCCACACCATGTGCATCACTGTACTCTTGCACTACCCTCCACACCATGTGTATCCTGTACTCTTGCATTACCCTCCACACCATGTGCATCACTGTACTCTTGCACTACCCTCCACACCATGTGTATCACTGTACTCTTGCATTACCCTCCACACCATGTGATCACTGTACTCTTGCACTACCCTCACACCATGTGCATCACTGTACTCTTGCACTACCCTCCACACCATGTGTATCACTGTACTCTTGCACTACCCTCCACACCATGTGCATCACTGAACTCTTGCACTACCCTCCACACCATGTGCATCACTGTACTCTTGCACTACCCTCCACACCATGTGCATCACTGTACTCTTGCACTACTCCACACCATGTGCATCACTGTACTCTTGCACTACCCTCCACACCATGTGCATCACTGTACTCTTGCACTACCCTCCACACCAAGTGCATCACTGTACTCTTGCATTACCCTCCACACCATGTGCATCACTGTACTCTTGCACTACCCTCCACACCATGTTATCCCTGTACTCTTGCACTACCCTCCACACCATGTGCATCACTGTACTCATGCACTACCCTCCACACCATGTGTATCACTGTACTCTGCACTACCCTCCACACCATGTGATCACTGTACTCTTGCACTACCCTCCACACCATGTGTATCACTGTACTCTTGCACTACCCTCCACACCATGTGCATCACTGTACTCTTGCACTACCCTCCACACCATGTGTATCACTGTACTCTTGCACTACCCTCCACACCATGTGTATCACTGTACTCTTGCACTACCCTCCACACCATGTGTATCACTGTACTCTTGCACTACCCTCCACACCATGTGTATCACTGTACTCTTGCACTACCCTCCACACCATGTGTATCACCGTACTCTTGCACTACCCTCCACACCATGTGTATCACTGTACTCTTGCACTACCCTCCACACCATGTGTATCACTGTACTCTTGCACTACCCTCCACACCATGTTCATCACTGTACTCTTGCATTACCCTCCACACCATGTGCATCACTGTACTCTTGCACTACCCTCCACACCATGTGTATCACTGTACTCTTGCACTACCCTCCACACCATGTGCATCACTGTACTCTTGCACTACCCTCCACACCATGTGCATCACTGTACTCTTGCACTACCCTCCACACCATGTGCATCACTGTACTCTTGCACTACCCTCCACACCATGTGCATCACTGTACTCTTGCACTACCCTCCACACCATGTGTATCACTGTACTCTTGCATTACCCTCCACACCATGTGCATCACTGTACTCTTGCACTACCCACCACACAATGTGCATCACTGTACTCTTGCACTACCCTCCACACCATGTGTATCACTGTACTCATGCACTACCCTAAACACCATGTGCATCACTGAACTCTTGCACTACCCTCCACACCATGTGCATCACTGTACTCTTGCATTACCCTCCACACCATGTGCATCACTGTACTCTTGCACTACCCTCCACACCATGTGCATCACTGTACTCTTGCACTACCCTCCACACCATGTGTATCACTGTACTCTTGCACTACCCTCCACACCATGTGCATCACTGTACTCTTGCACTACCCTCCACACCATATGCATCACTGTACTCTTGCATTACCCTCCACACCATGTGCATCACTGTACTCTTGCACTACCCTCCACACCATGTGTATCCCTGTACTCTTGCACTACCCTCCACACCATGTGCATCACTGTACTCATGCACTACCCTCCACACCATGTGTATCACTGTACTCATGCACTACCCTCCACACCATGTGTATCACTGTACTCTTGCACTACCCTCCACACCATGTGTATCACTGTACTCTTGCACTACCCTCCACACCATGTGTATCACTGTACTCTTGCACTACCCTCCACACCATGTGCATCACTGTACTCTGCACTACCCTCCACACCATGTGTATCACTGTACTCATGCACTACCCTCCACACCATGTGTATCACTGTACTCTTGCACTACCCTCCACACCATGTGTATCACTGTACTCTTGCACTACCCTCCACACCATGTGTATCACTGTACTCTTGCACTACCCTCCACACCATGTGTATCACTGTACTCTTGCACTACCCTCCACACCATGTGTATCACTGTACTCTTGCACTACCCTCCACACCATGTGTCATCACTGTACTCTTGCACTACCCTCCACACCATGTGCATCACTGTACTCTTGCACTACCCTCCACACCATGTGTATCACTGTACTCTTGCACTACCCTCCACACCATGTGTATCACTGTACTCTTGCACACCCTCCACACCATGTGCATCACTGTACTCTGCATACCTCCACCATGTGCATCACTGTACTCATGCACTACCCTCCACACCATGTGTATCACTGTACTCTTGCACTACCCTCCACACCATGTGTATCACTGTACTCTTGCACTACCCTCCACACCATGTTATCACTGTACTCTTGCACTACCTCCACACCATGTGCATCACTGTACTCTTGCACTACCCTCCACACCATGTGTATCACTGTACTCTTGCACTACCCTCCACACCATGTGCATCACTGTACTCTTGCACTACCCTCCACACCATGTGCATCACTGTACTCTATGCACTACCCTCCACACCATGTGTATCACTGTACTCTTGCACTACCCTCCACACCATGTGTATCACTGTACTCTTGCACTACCCTCCACACCATGTGTATCACTGTACTCTTGCACTACCCTCCACACCATGTGCATCACTGTACTCTTGCACTACCCTCCACACCATGTGTATCACTGTACTCTTGCACTACCCTCCACACATGTGCATCACTGTACTCTTGCACTACCCTCCACACCATGTGCATCACTGTACTCTTGCACTACCCTCCACACCATGTGTATCACTGTACTCTTGCACTACCCTCCACACCATGTGTATCACTGTACTCTTGCACTACCCTCCACACCATGTGTATCACTGTACTCTTGCACTACCCTCCACACCATGTGCATCACTGTACTCTTGCACTACCCTCCACACTATGTGTATCACTGTACTCTTGCACTACCCTCCGCACCATGTGCATCACTGTACTCTTGCACTACCCTCCACACCATGTGTATCACCGTACTCTTGCACTACCCTCCACACCATGTGTATCACTGTACTCTTGCACTACCCTCCACACCATGTGTATCACTGTACTCTTGCACTACCCTCCACACCATGTGTATCACTGTACTCTTGCACTACCCTCCACACCATGTGTATCACTGTACTCTTGCACTACCCTCCACACATGTGTATCACTGTACTCTTGCACTACCCCACTCACATTGATCACTGTCTCTGCCTACTCCACACCATGTGTAAACATCTGTATCTGCTATAAACCATGTGTATCATGTTCTTTTCACTATAATTCATCCGCAAGTGTATCACTGTACTTTGCAACCGCGACACTATGTATATGTATTTGCCTAACCCTCAACATTTCATGTGTCACTGTACTCTGCCTACACCACTATCACAATTGTCACTGTTCTGATGACTGCACACATGTGTAACTGTATTTGCATGCCACACCAGGAACGTCTTTCATACCCGATCAACCGTAATTGAGTTATAGTATTTGCATATCAAATATGTGATGGAATCTGAATTCTTGATGACCAACTCGACCTAGGCATCGTACCTGCACACCACACATTGCTCCCTCTCTGCACTCTCACACATTGTCACACTCTCACTCCCACTCATGTCTAACACACAGCACTCACAAAAAAACATAATACTTCATGATCCTTGCTCCTTTCTTGCATCTACACTATTGTATCCCTGTACTTGCACTACCTGCTCGCCTGATGGTCAACCTTGCCCCTCACGTCTGGGAAAATTGCCTGTTCAGTCCTGAAGGGACTATCCCCGCGTTGTACTCACTCATACTCACCCTGGACTTCGAGTATTAGCAGTAGGATGGTCGACGTCCGACAGGTTGTACGCAACACAGACGTAGCTGCCTTCGTCTGTCTGCAGCGTCTCGGTCATTACCAGTCCACCGCCCTCCTTCACGTACACCCTGGAGGAAAACAGTCATTGAGTGGAATGCGCAATCATAACCTGCATGGAAAACGCTCTTGTAATGAGTGGAAAACATATTCATAGAGCGAATGGAAATAACAGGATCGTCTGGTGAGTTGTAAACAAATATCAACTGATCAATGGGGAAAAAAAGGTCATCTCATTTGTGTTAAAAAAAAAAAACGAACAGATATCAACAGTCTTCCAAAAGGCAAATGAAAATAGCATGATATTCAATGGTTACAAATTTCAACTGCTTAGGTATCGGGAGAATGACGACTTCAAAATAGTTGACAGAACGCAGGCAGACAATACCATACCACTTAATAAAGGGATAAAGACTTAGTAAAATTTATGCGAGTAGATTTGTACATTTCGAAAACACAAGGCAAATGCAAGGCGGATTATGAGAACTTTTAAAAGAGACAGAAACAACGTCAATGATGGTATTCTACAAATCACTTACGGTTTCACGATTTGAAAATTGTCAACAGCGCGTTTCAAGGCAGGAAAGATAGCAGAGCTGGAATACGTACAGAGATCGGATACTGCCAGTATAGAATCAATGAAACATCTAGACTACTTGAGAACTCTTTAAAACACTTATAATGTTCACTTTGGAACGATAATACATAGTGTGCATATTAATTGGGACGGTTATGAAATAAGACACTTACTGGGAAAATTAACATTTATTTGAAAAATACAAAGCAATGATATGACAGATAACTGATTTAATATGAGACATTATTACCCTTTGTTTTTATAAGCATTGCTACACCTTTTGGCGTAGAATCGACCAATGTTAAACACATTTTGGCAAGTTTTAGTCGCAGTACCAAGTCCTGATAACAGCAGCAATTAGCTTTTCCACAGCTCAACAGTTCTGTTTTGCAATCCTGCATTTGGTTGTTGCCCATAGATTCACAGTTAGGTTGAGTGAGGTTAAGAGCTTCCTGACCAATTTGGAATGCTTATTCCACTCTCCTCAATGAATGTCAGCATTTTCCTGGAAGTGTGGCAAGGAGCAAGATCCTGCTGGAAAATGCCTTCTCCCTCAAGAAAGTCTCTATTCACAATGGGAAGCAAATGAGTTGCCAGAACTGCCTTGCATCTGTCACTTCCCGTCATTCCCTCAACAATAACAATCCGTCCAGGAACTTTAGCAGTAAAACTACACAAAACATCTTCATAGGTGGGTATTTCGGCTCTTGTTGAATATCTCCATTCCGAAGAAGTTCGCCTTTGCTCCATCTCTCTACCACTGATCTGTATCCATGTTCTTCAAAACGCGCATTATCTGAAAATATAACTTTTCTCCATCCCTTATGATCGAGTGCCCACAGCAGCCGTTTTTCTTCATAGCAGCAGTCAATAATTGCTTATTTACCGGCTTTTTGGCAGTTCTGCCAACTTCAAGGAGTCTTTGTCGAACAGTTGAAGAATCAACATTTGTGCCAGCTAAAGCCAAATCTCTTTGTAGATCTTTGCTGGTTTTCTTGGGATCCTTCACACTATTTCTTATGATAACCTTCTCATTGTGAGGTGTTGTCTTGCATTTTCTTCCACATCTTCCTCGACGCAGCGCTCCACAATCACCTGTTTCGTCAGTTGTCTTCGGAATCCGACCAACAGTTAACTTTGCTAAGCTCAAATTTTCGGCGATCTGTCTGATACTCAAATCAGCATGTTTTCTAAGAGCTATAATACCTGCATGCTTCATAGGTTTAACATCCATCAAGAATTTCAGCAGTAATAGTGAACTGAAAGGGAGAATTTGGCACGAAACCATATTAACTCACAGAGCACATTTGCAGGAATAGCCTTACAAAACAACAGCAGTTGTAGCACTAAAGAAAGTCGCAGGGTAACACCACAATTGGATGGTTGCCAGAAGTCGGTAGCAAACTCTTCTGAAAAGAAGATAACCAAACTACATTAATTAAACCGGAGACTAAGACATATGAGATAATCACAAAATTTACTCCTGTCCCAAATAATTTGCACACTTCTGTATATGTATGAAAGATACTACAGGTAGCAGTCCTTTAATTTCCATAACAACTTATTCAGAGTGAAAGATAGGGGCGGAACTCTCGAATTAACCAAGAAAAGACCAGAAGTATCATGAGTTCCATTAGAGAACGCCGTGTCAACATCCGCTGTCTAAAAACTCTTCAACAGATTACCAACAAATATCATCAGAAATATTGACAGAAGGAAGAATAAAAATTTCGAGAAGCTGAGCAGCTTACTGCTACAAATGTCTGATCTGCTGGGTTGTCATGGTGATGCAGGCCTGCTGGAGTTAGCATAAACAACATGGTTGATCAGGCGATCAACAGAGAAACCTGGCTTCAGGTCGGTCTGCGGGGACAGAAGAACCCTTAAAATCGCGGACAGGTAAAAATTCTCTTATATACACCTCAATTCCTCCGCTTCACCACCACTTGCTTCTCCTCTTCTTCCTTCTCCTCCCCTCTTCCTCCTAATCCTTCTCTTCCTCCTTCCTTTTCCATATCTTCCCCTTTCCTCTACTCCTCCTCTTCTCCATCCTATTGCTCTTCGTCCACCTCATCCATCCGTCCCTCTTCGTCCTCTACCTAGGCATTTTTAGTACCCTCTCCCTTGCTGGCTCCCTCGCTTCTCCCTCTCACTGACTCACAAAAGTGAGACATAACACGACAACTCACACTGAGTCCTGTGTCTGAGGTGAATGTTGATGATGTCATGATGGTGGCACTAAACTTCTTGGCAGATATAGTGAGCTAGCTCATCTTGTGTTTAATACTTGTGTGTGTGTGTGGTGTGTGTTGTGTGTGTGTGTGTGTGTGTGTGTGTGTGTGTGTGTGTTCGAGACAGAGAGAGAGTCATTGTCTATTTGTATATACCCTCGTCTTCAATATTATTCTTTTCATGTTATGTTTTTTCTACAGGAAGCTCCTTGCCTCTAACACCAAGCTACAGGAGCGTGTATGTGCGAGCACATATATGCAACTGTGGATGTACAGTACATCTGAGTGTGAATTCAAAAGCTCGTTTACGTGTTAATTTCTATATATTTGCATACGCTGTCAAGCGCATCTAGTTCCTGGACGATGGCACTTCGCTGGTACCTCAGTCTCTGCTAGAGGACTCACTGAATCTAGTTCTCTGCCTAAAGTCTATGCAATATTTACTGGTGTTTGCCAGCCATCAGATCGGTGATCAAGACATAGCCACCCTGCAAGGAGTTCGAATCACTGAGGCCACTGACGCTGTTTCTCTCGTCTCCAAATCAGGAAGAAATCACAAGAAAAAGGAAGACCGGATTGGAGATACAATTGCCCACGACGTCGTTTCCCCTTCTCAAGGGATACCCAAGCCTCTTTAAATTATCAGACTGTGGTGCTCTCCTTCCCTCAGCAGAGGTAAGGAGAGCACCACAGTCTGGCAGGAGAGTTGAAAATAAAGCTTTAACTGACCTTGACCAGTTACATGGTAATTTATGTGTTAGCTAAAGGACGAAAGCCATTCACCGATGGAGATTTTCATCAAAGAGTGTATGATGGAAGCAGCGAGAGAGAGATGCCCAGAAAAAGCATATCCCATACTTAATAGAAGAAAAACTTCTTAAAGCTCTGCTTGGATTTCTTGCAGTGAGTGGAGGTCACATGTACAGACTTTATTCCATCGACTGAGTACATTCTTTCATACAGTGTGGACTGGGGACGCACTTCCTGCCAGACAGTGTGAACTGGCAGCATACGTCCAGTCAAAATCGGTAAACTGAATACAGACACGGTCTGAGATAACCTTGTTATTCTTCTTATTCTCCTTCACAGCACCCAACGAACTGTCTAGTACCAGTTTCAGTACAACACCCACACACCTACATTATTCAGCTAGGCGAGCTTGTTTAGCTCAGGCCATCCTGCCTCTGCTCCCGCAGATAACACAAGATTAAATGTTTCTCTAAGCCTAAGGGAGCCTCAGTTGTAAATGGACAATCAATTTGCACTTTAGATTTAGCACAAATGGCAGATCTGAAAGTAACTCCGGGTGATGGATGAATCGGCTGCGTTCCCTGGCCTAGTAATGCACCTTCATACCAGACACAGCTCAGCTATATACTTGAAACTATACCAAAATAATACAGTATTGAAGTATGCAATGTAACCAAAAAATGCACAAACACAATGCACACTAACCAAATAATGCACATATACACTCTTACCAATCTATCACATTATATACTGTTACCAAACAATACAACCACACACTGTACATTAACCAAACAATGAACCTACACACTACAATCAAACAATGCATTTATAGACTACACACTAACCAAACAATGCACTTACAATATAACACAAATACAGCTGACTGACTCAGCTGATCATTGGAGCCAAATTCCCACTGCATACAAGCACTTTGAATTTTATCAGTGTCAGGGGAACCATTTCCATTCAGAAGCATTGTTTTAATTCCATCTGGCGTATTTTGAGTGCACTGTATTGTTCAGGCTGTTGTGTTGCACTGCTCCGTTGCACACACACTCACCTTTGAGAATGGTAAACGGCTTAAAAAATTATATAGCGTAAACATTAGTGAATAAACTTTTCTTTTCTTGATTTTTCTACAACACCAAAATGCTTTCTAAGTTTATTTGTAAATGGGAAGAAATGAACATAAAACGAAGATAAACGGAGAGCCCCAGAGCCTACACTTTTTTGAAAAAAAAAAGAGTCGAATAAGAGGCGATAAAAGGAGATATTCTTTTGTTTTTAGGAGTGCGAATATTCTTCTGAAAATGGGGTTGGAGACGCACGAAAGCGCTCTGGTATTTCCTTTCCCTTAAATTTTCACTTAATTTTAAAATAACAGTACATAAATCGTGTTATACTCTTTTGTTTGGTTTTAATGTGCAATATAGTAAGTCCATTACTATAGAACGTAAATATAGAGGAATTTTTTGGCTTAGGCCTACCGGCTTAGGCCATAAAATTCTCACTT